ACCATACGGACTATCTTCCTATTATTCCAAACTTCCAATCCAGTTGGCCCAAAAGGGCTGTAACCTGCCCTTGGTCTTCATGATTGGGTCCTTTTCCTCCGGTTACTCTTCCAGCAGCCAGGTTGATGGAGAGTACCTTGCCAAACACTTCAGTCCCATCTGGTTTTCCAGTTTCCGGATAATCCTTTACGTAGTGCTGTCAAAGATTTGTGCTACCTCTCTACTCGGGTCTTGCCAAGCAGGCTCCCATACCCTGTAAATTCACTGAATTTATCCGGTAGCTTCACTTGGGTTTCGTGTAACTCATACATCACACTACATATTCCACTACCTCCTAGTACAAGCTGGTATGACCACCATTACAGATTCTATAACTCTAGTCCTGCTGCTTGGGGGTGTGACAACTTGCCAACTTCACTAAGTTGCCACACCCTTGCAAAAAAAGATTTGTATATTACAAATATTGCATATTTTGGTAGTAATAGTGCTTTGATAATGATAGGTAAAATCTTTTATTTTTATTATTATTATTATTTTAAATTTTATAAATACTTATTGTCTGAAGTGAAACAACAGACTCATAATTTTATGCTTTTCGATAACCAAAAATTCGTTTTTGATACATTTATATTAAAAATATTAAAAAAGTAATTTTAGTATTTTTCAGATATCATACTTTATTTTTATATAGTAAAGTTAAAATTTGAACTTATATAGATAACCAATGCTGGTTCTAACCCGTCTCAAAAATCTTAACCCAAGTGGTAAAAGAAATTCTACAACGATTCTGGGTCATTGGGTCACCCAAATGGTAAAAGAAATTCTGGGTATGTACGTACGTAACCAAGCAATTTAAAAGTTACCCATCCAGGACACCCGACAGGCCACTCAGGTCAGTTTAAAAAACTTACCTTTAACATTTGAGAGGAAGTTAATAGAAATAGGACAAATTTTTTCTAAGTTTTCTTAACTTTAAGTTAAAATATCTCAACAACCAAATTTAACAATAAAAACTTTTTAATCCTAATTCTATATAATTTTAGAATTAAATAAAAAAATTTTTATTGAAAAAAAATTATTAAAAGTGATTTGTTCTATTTATATTGACTCCCCATTTGTCAGTTTAAGTATTTAAAGTAAGTATTCAATATTTACTATTATAATTTTGCTCACGATTTAGACCTTAAAGAACAATGTAAAATTGTCAATTTAGAATTTCATTTTATTTTGTGAGTGTATATAAAAGCATCTATTAATCTAAGCATTTATAGTAAACTATTCAAGTTTATAAATATTTACTATATGCTTAATTTTATTTTATTCATAAATATATATTTTATTCAAATTCATAAATATTTATTATCTAATTAATTGCATTTAAATTTACATAAGTAAAATTGTAGATTATGATAAATGTTTGCATTGCGATAAATATAACAAAATGAACCGCGGTATCAAACATGTGAATTCAACATGACAATTTGAGAAGAGACAAGCCAAATAAAAATGTTAACGGTTACATTGATTGTTAGAGTTTCAACATAAAATTTATCGTTATTAGTTATAAAATTATGATCAAATTGATTCCGTTCGACAGATTTAACAATATTGCAAGATAGGACAGTACACGTCAAACTATACGTATAAGGTTGCATAACGATAAATCATCTAGTGCTGGTTGTAAATGATGAGTTTGTGTAACAGTACTTTTTCAAAAACATATTTCAATCATGCTATGCACAAGATTAAGAAATAGAGATATAACAGATAATATATGTTAAAAATATCACTATTATATAAAATTACCAGTATAATTAAACAATTGCTGCTGTCGCTAATACACAAGTTTTTTGTGCAAATTTTTATTATTTTTTTTTTGAATAATAATCATACAAAACAAATTAAAATTTGTTTATAATGCAAAAATCCATCAAAAAAAGCAAGCTATTACAAATCTATAGGTAATTAATAACTTTTAGTATGAACCACGCTTGGACCATGCTCATTGTAATCGACTTTATTAATAAAACCTTTAGGGTCAGGAAAAGAAAGCTTTAAGGTAACAAAAACGAAACATAAAATTAGTAAATATAAATTCTTTTAAAGATAATTTAATAAATACAATTAGTTGAAATATAAACTTACTTTAGCTGTAATGACAGCACCTAAGTATCCAGCCAATTCCGGTCTATCTTTAAGGGTTGAAAAATACTCGGGTAATTTTAAAAATCTTGCTTCTTTGATTTGGTATTCGCCAGCGTTGTCCGAAGCATAAAGATATACGGTTAACTCTTTTTCAAGACGTTCTTTAAAGCCTAATAGTAAAAATTAATAGTATTATTATGAATTATCCAAGTCTATTAAAATACATCGTAGGTGTTAAACACATAATTGCCTCAAAAACCGGCCAAGTAATCAGTATTTGATGTTCTAATTAAAAATACTCGGCACCTCCAGAAAATAAATAACATAAAAACATATATGATGTTTGAACACCATAAATTCATTTTATATTTTCTATAATCGATAATATATCCGATATAATAAATTTAAAATGATACATCACCTTTAAGTAAAGATGAACCACCAGTAAAAGCAATATTTTCCCATAAAGTATTTCGTTTGTCTGGTTCGCAATAAGATATTGCCTGATAAATAGCCTCAGATAAAGAAAGAACCCCTACTTTATTGATTAAAAGAGGGTTGAAAATAGGTTCGACAACTTGAAAACGTTCAGGACCAATTGTAAACTGTTATGATCGATTATGAAATAATAAGTATATGATAAGAATAATATCAGTAAAGATTGCATCCGTCAAGAAAATTTCTATCCGGGTATTAGTAAATTACCCAGTTATCCAAGTAATTTATTATAGCCATCTAATAAAAATGTCTAGCCGGGTACAATCTCTAAATATCAGTAATTGTAGTAATATCAGACCTTCCTTCCATTATATTCAGCTTCTATTCTATCTGGTCTGTCCTCTATGGAATCACCATCTGAAAGAATCTCACAAATATTATCTGATTCTTTGAGTGTTCTTGCGAATTCAATATCTGGTGTTTCACCATACTCCATTAAAAATTGAGGATCGGATAGCAACAATGAAAGAAAATATTCATCAAAATCTTGACCAGCAATTGGTATCGTCAAAGCTGCATGATATTGGACGGAGCAATCAATTATTGGAGTGATTTCTAATTAAAATTTATTAGAGTTAATTACTATGATTTAATAGTTATAAAAAATAGGAACATTTATTTTAAATAAAATTTTTGGCAATTTATACATACCGGTTTTACCGTATCCAACGTCAATTACAAGGCCGCTAAGACAACCGATACCATACAGAGTCATCAAGGCTTGATTGGCAATATAAAGTCCAGGAGCATTAAAAGTTTCGAAAAAAATATGAGCTATTCGTTCAAAATGTTCTTTCGTCCAGCTGTTGGGG